TGGGGACGTGTTGGGGGACTGTGTACCAATGAGGGAGTTTTTCTTTCGCTTTTCAAGGAGAGGAGCAAACGGGGGGAGGAGGGGGGGAGGGGTTTGTGTGGGGGGAAGGGTGCAACAATGAATGAATGGAATTCCAAAATCTCTGTAGATGTTCATTGAAATGAAAAATAAACAAACTACATTAAAAAAAAAAGAAACAATGGATTGGGTTCAGCAAATCTGCTGCCAAGGACCTGATTAAAGTGCTAAAGAGCAACTGTGTCACTCTAAAGATTAAGGTGTGCCTGACCCAAACCACAGTATTTTCAATTGCTTCATATGTATGTGAAAGTTAAACAACGGATAAGGAAAATCAAAGACAAATTAATGTCTCTGAAATGTAGTGTTGATAAAGAAAAATGAATATGCCATATACTGGCAAAAGAACAAACAAATCTGTCTTAGAGGAAGTACAGCCAGAATGCTCCTTAGAGGTAAATGCAGTGAGATTTCATCTCACATATTTTGGTCACATAATCAGGAGGGACCCTTCCCTGGAGAAAGACATTATGCTTGGAAAGGTAAAGAATGTAAGTAAATAAGACCGACTGATGTAGTGAATGCAACAGTATGTTTAAGCATAGCAGTAAGATGGCAAAGGATCAGGCAAAGTTTCATTCTATTGCACAATAAGTCATTATGAGTCAGAGGCAACTTCTCAGCACCCAACAACAACAATAACATAGAGGAAAACCCTTAAGTAGAAGGACAGACACAGTGGCTACTACAATGGGCTCAAACATAGAAAAGATTATAAGGATGGGACAGGACTGGTAGTGTTTCATTCAAAACAACTCGATGACACCTAAAAAAAACCCACCTCAACATCAAGAATGTGGAGGAGTCCTTGGGTGGTGAAACTGGTGCACATACTCAACTGCTCATATTTATATGGTTCAAGTTCATTCAAAGGCACCTCAGTCATCTACTTCCAAAGCGTCAGGTATTGAAAACCCTGTGGAGCATGCTAAGTGAAATATCTTAGTCACAAAAGGACAAATACTGCAAAACCTGGTCGTTATACAGCAGGATTGGCATGAAGCATTGGGAGAAGAATAGGAAAAGAGTAGATAAATAACACTGCAGTAGAACAGATGAGGTGAAAAACTGCCCAAAGGAATAAGGTTAGGCATTTTACATATATATATTGTTGTTTGTTGTTATGTGCTGTCGAGTCATTTGCGACTCATAGTGACCCTATGTACAACAGCCCTAAACCCTGCTCTATCCTGTGCCAATCTCATTGCCTCTGACACACCCAT